GCCGACCGTCGTGGCTGTCGAGACGCGCGGCGCCGATAGCCTCCATGCGAGCGTCGAGGCCGGACGGCTCGTCACGCTGCCGGCCATCACGTCCATCGCACGAGTCTCGGCGCCGTGCGCGTATCCGAGCGGACGTGGGAGTGGGCGCAGCGCAAGGCTGTGCTGGGCCCGCGCCGGCAGGCAGAGCATGGGGGCGGCAAGATGGCGCCGGCGGGGCTCGAAAGTCTCGTTGTCAGCGATGCCGAGGCGGCCATGGCGTGCGTGCGGTTCGCGCACGATGCGCGCTTCGTCGTCGAGGTGGCGTGCGGCGCGACGGTTGCCGTCTGCTACAACGGTGCTTTGCGGGAGAGGCTCGGGCGCGGACTGTCGGACGATGAGTGGCGCAGGAAGAATGTTGTCGTCGTCGTGTGCGGAGGGTCGAATGTGAGTCTCGAGGTGCTCGAGGAGTACAAGGCCACGTATGCGCACATGGTCTGAAGATGAGGGCGTTGATGCGGCTGGGGATGATGAAGGCGAGAATGACTGACACTGGAGTACATGGTCAATACGTAGCGGTTTGATGGATAGGCAATGCACTTGCCATTCTTTCTGATAAGCCTCCAGCGCACTCAAGCCGTATACACGAGCTCGCAATACGTCTCCTCCAGCTCAGCTCGCCACGCCAACTCGCCCGACCTCATCCTCTCCTCAAATCGATCCAGCACCATTTCCATCTCGCCGAAATAGTTGACGCCGCCCTTTTGCGTGAATCCTACCCTCTTGAACAGGGCGATGCTCTTGTCGTTGCCGGCCTGGATCTTGGCCATGAGACCCCGGAGCCGCGGCACCCTCGCGCCGCTGCGCGGACCATGCTCTCGCAGTATGCCGTCGACATGGCGGAGCACATATTCCATCAAGGCCGTGACGGCGCCGAACCCGACGCCACGCCCACGATCTCCCTTCTCGGCGATCATGACGTCGATTTCGCCGACGAAATCTGGTGGCTCGGCAGCACCCTCGTCGTTGCCTTCATCGTCGTCCTCGTCGTCATGGGGGTACAGGAAGAAGTTGACGTCGCCGACCATGGCGTCCTCGTGGTCTGCCGTGCCAGCGGTGATCTCCGTCGATGCTGCCCCAGCCGCTACTGGCCGACAGATGATGAAGGTGAGTTTATCGTCAGCGGTGCGCCACGACGCCTGGTTCTCGTACTCTTCTTCAAGAGACAGGGGGTCCGACGCCGTCGCGGCTTGAATGTCCTGGAGCTATGTTCAGACACAGACACTGCGGAGATGGCCTTGCAGAGTGGCAGAGGAGGCACAAGGGCACGAGGACGTACGGGATCGCTCATCCAGCGGTGATACTTGGCGACATGGCGGGCCTCGTAGGGGACGAGGGTCACCTGTGGCGTGGCGATGGCTGTTGTCGCTTCAGTGGGGTGGTCCTGTCGAAGGGTGCATTTCGACACATGGGACGATGGAAACGAACCTGTCTTCTCGTTGAGCCTCATTCTTCGTCAAGCTTTGTCGTCCGATGGTCTCGGCAGATGCGATCTGTGGTGGATGAGTGAGGTTGAGAGGGATGGTTGGGTTGGGATGGTTGGACTGGAAAGAGGAGAGCGGAAAATGGGAAATAGAAAATCGGGGTCGGATAAACCTCACACAAGGGCGCTGCCTCGTACCTGCCCAACATGTGGTCGCCAACACCATCTGGGACTGACGGATGCCAACTGCGAGTCGAATTGACGTACAAACACGAAAGAGACTACCATGGACTAGAACGTGTGCCTCGAGCGGTGCTGGGCTGCCTTGTCTTGCCTATTCTCGTACCTAAATTTGACAGAACACCATATGCCTCTCCATCTGAAGCCTCCTCTCCATGTTGGTACACCTTGTTTTACATCTCGTATTGTACATGCCGTGTTCTACATCTCATGTTGACAATGCCTCGAACCTCTCATCCTGCCGGCCTCATGAGCTAATCAGTCGCCACGGCCGGCGGGAAGAGGCCCGTCCACTTGCCCCTCGGCAGCGCCGCCGCTTCCTTGCGCGCCCCGTACTCGACGTCGCCGCCAAACGTCGCATGGGCAAAGGTCCGCCGCGCGGGCTGCACGCCGAGGATGTCCAGCATCTCGCCCATCTTGCCGGGCATGAACGGCTGCAGCAGGACGCCGGCGACGCGCAGCGCCTCGGCGGCGTGGAACACAATCGCGTTCCGCGCCGCGTCGGAGGGCACCTTTGTCTTGTCCCACGGCGCGCTGTCGGCGATGAACTTGTTGGCCTCGACGAGCAGCGTCATGGCCGCCTTGATGGCCGCGCTCGGGTTGAGGTCCGTCTCCATGGCGGCGGCCATGACCCTGGGCGTCTCGTCGACGAGGGCTGCGAGGCGGCGCTGTCGGCTCTGCGGCGCGTCGGCAGACGCCTCGACCTCGGCCTCGACCTCGGCCCCGTGCGCCGCCGCCGCCGCCGCCGCCTGGTGGTGGTGGTCCCGCGCCCAGCGGACGGCGTCGGCGACGTTCCACTTGGTGCTCCGCGTGATGCGGCTCAGCGCGTTGCCGAGCGTCCACTGCAGGTCCTTCTCGTAGCGCGCAAAGATGAAGCGGTTCTCGTAGTCGGCGTCGTTCTCGAGGCCGCCGTCGCGCAGCATGAAGTAGCGCATCGTGTCGAGGTCCCAGCGCTCGATGGCCTGGAACGGGTTGACGACGTTGCCGACCGACTTGGACATTTTCTTCTTGCCGAGGGTCCAGTGGGCGTGGCTCAGCAGCTGCTTCGGCGGCGGCAGGCCGACGGCGAGCAGCAGGGCCGGCCAGTAGACGCCGTGGAAGCGCACAATGTCCTTGCCGATGACGTGCACGTCGGCGGGCCAGCCGCCGCTGTGCTCGTCGCCCGGGGCCCAGGCGGGGAAGCCGGCCTTGGTGAGGTAGTTGATGAGGGCGTCGACCCAGACGTAGATGGTCTGCGACGGGTCGTCGGGCACGCGGATGCCCCAGTCGAAGCGGCTCACGGGCCGCGAGATGGACAGGTCCTCGAGGTTGTGGCGCACCCAGCTGACGACCTCGTTCATGCGGGCGCGCGGCACGATCCAGTCGGGGTTGTCGTCGTAAAACTGCAGCAGCCTGTCGCGCATGGCCTTCATGCGGAAGTGGTAGTTCTTCTCCTCGGTCCACTCGACCTCGCTGCCCGTGGCGATCGAGGCCATGATGGTGCGGCCCGTCTGCGGCACGATGGCGCGCTCGACCTCGTCCTCGGCGTAGAAGCACTCGTCGCTGACGCAGTACCAGCCGCTGTGCGTCGACTCGTACACGTGGCCGCCCGCGCGCAGCAGGTGCCAGAAGTGCTGCACGGCATCCATGTGGTCGGCGTCGGTGGTGCGCACGAAAAAGTCATTGTCGATGCCGCAGGCGGCGGCGAGCTGGCGGAACTTGTCGGCGTTGTTGTCGCAGAAGGCCTTGGGCGGGATGCCCTGCTTGGCGGCGGCGCGCTGCACCTTCATACCGTGCTCGTCGGTGCCCGTGCAGTAGAGGGCGTCGCGGCCGCGCAGCGTCTGCCAGCGCTTGAGGCTGTCGGCGAGGATCATGGTGTACATGTGGCCGACATGGGGGGCTGTCTGCCGTCAGTGGGCTGTCTGCCACGGTCTGGCGTCCCAGGAAAGCAGCTACATACAAGCATTGACGTAGAAGATGGGCGACGTCACGTAGAAGGGCTTCGCATGGGCACTGCCGCCGCTGGCACTGCTGCCACTGCTGCCACTGCTGCCACTGCTGCCACTGCTGCCACTGCTGCTTCGGCGTGTCTGGCCGTGGTGACAAGACGGGCAGACCCAGCCGGAGCGTGTCGTCTGTGATGGTCGGCGCAGAGGCAGACGGGCAGCCCTCGCTGCAGCAAGACGTATTGGCCTCATGATGGCATATGCGAGGCCAAGCGAGTGGCGGCTTCGATGTGATGGTGGCCGAAGTGAAGTGAAGAAAAGTCTTGTTCAGGGGATGATGGGTGGTTTGAGGCAGAGCAGGAGCCGAGCGAGACGATCACATCACAGTGTTTGGCTCGTCGAGTGATTCGGATTACTGTGCAAGCTCTTATCCTTATCAGCGAAACGCGACCCCACCAACTTTCTTTCGACTCTTCAGAGCTGCGACTCTTCAGAGCTGCCCGTTGCTGTGCTTCTTCTTCACAGCTGTCCCGTGCCGAGCCATCGCAGAGCCATTGCAGAGCCATTGCAGAGCCATTGCAGAGCCATTGCAGAGCTGTCACGGGAGCAGGCAACACACCGGCTACCCTCGACCGATCCAGTGATACATTTCGCCGTCCCCGCCACCGCCGCCATGTCGCTCCCCACGCGCGAAGTCCAGATCAAGCAGGCCAGCGACAGTACGTCCCTCCTCCCTCTGCCAGAGAATGGTGTCAGGAAGCTGCCAGAGTGCTTTCACAAGGCTGTCAGACTCCTGTCAGAATGCTGCCAGACTCCTGCCAGGCTCCTGCCAGACTCCTGTCAGAATGCTGCCAGAGAAGGCCGTGACCAGATGCTGACGAGGCAGCCGCCAAAATCTTCGTCGACGCCTACTACGACGCCCTCAACCGCCGCAAGCCCTCCGCCATCGCCGCCTTCTACACGACCGCCTCGACCTCCTACGCCTCGCACCCGCCCGACATGTCCATCAACGGCCTGCCCCTCACCGACCCGGCCGCCTACGCCCGCCTCCTCGACGACCACTACCACGAGGCGCCCCTCCCCGGCGTGCCGGACCCCAAGGCCGCCTCGTCGTCGGCCGCCTCGACGACGCCCCTCGTGCGCCTCGAGCTCGAGTCGTTCGACGCCCACGTCATCAACGCCGACTACGTCGTCGCCGCGCCCCCCGGCATCGCCGACACGCCCGACAAGACGGGCGCCAAATGCAGCGTCCTCGTCCAGGTTACGGGCCGGCTCTACTACGGACGCGGCCGCGAGGCGCCCGCCAAGACCTTCAACGAGGTGTTTGTGCTCGTGCCCAACTGGGACACCTTTGGCCGGAACGCGCCCAAGGGCGCCCGCCGGTGGCTCATTTCGAGCCAGAACTTTCGCTCTCTGTAGCTGCGGTGGAGTGCGTTTCTCGTTTCATGGCTGCACTTCTAGTTGGTGGCTACCTACCTACCTTCTCCGCCTGTCGCTGGGAGGCGGGGAGGGCGCAGCGGGGGGTGGGCGTTTGGGATCGGCATGGGGGCAAAGCATGGAAGGCGTTTTTTTTGGTACTTTGTGCTCTGCTATAGACCGGAAAGTGGTCACAGCTGCAAAGTGGTCACGGCTGCATTGATTCACTTGAAACTCACATCATGTTCAACAGACTAGTCATTGTGATGAGTCCGAATACCTGAGGTCGTTACATCATAGTGAACCCCCAAAAGCATCCAGACCCCAAAGCCTCCAGACCCCAAAGCCTCCAGACCCCAAAGCCTCCAGGCCCCAAAGCCTCCAGACCTCAAAGCCTCCAGACCCAAAGCACCCAACGCGCCAGCCTACGCGAGCTGCGCCTTGCGATACCGCCAGTACCCCGCCCTGATGGGATCCCACTTCTCCGCGAGCCGGTCCAGACACGTGGCCGCCTCGACCGTCTCCCCCTTCTCCGCGTGCACGTCGGCCAGGAAGTCCAGCGCGTGGCTGCTCTGGACGTCCTCGCCGTCCGCCTCGCCCACGCGCCACACGTACTCGACGGCCGTGCTCTCGACGCTCGCGAGCGGCCGCCCGCCCTTGACGAGCACGCCGCGGAGGTAGTTCCAGGGGGCCTGGTTCTGGGGCGCCACGGCGATTTTGGCGCGGGCGTAGGCGATCTCGCGGTCGACCGTCGCCGCGGGCACGGCGGCGTCGGGCGCCGTGGCGTGGGCGCCGGGCGTCGAGGCGGCCGGGTCGCTGAAGACGACGAAGAAGCGGTGGCTCCAGGCCGAGTTGTTGCGCACGTCATCCTCGACGAACGTCTGCGTCGCCGCGAGCTCCTGCGCCGTCCAGAGGCCGAGCCGCCGCACGAGGTACTGCCGGTAGCTCCAGACGTGGTAGTTCTTCGTGTCCTCGGCGAGGATGAGCCGCAGGAAGTGCGACTCGTCGTGCGCGAGCTTCTTGACCGCCGCCGCGTCCGAGCCGATGCGCGCGTGCACGTGATCGAGCAGCAGCTGGCGGTGGTGCCAGATTTGGTAGTTCTTCAGGTGGTCGAGCGACACGCCGTTGAGCCAGGCAAACTCGTCGTCGAGCGGCAGGTCGAGCGCCTGGATGATCCTGAACCGGTACAGCCACACGGTGTAGTGGGCCGGGTTCATCGCGATGACGTGCTCCGTGAGCCGGAGCGTGCGGGGGGAATGCTCCTCGGCGGCCATGACGGCGCGCAGGTAGCTGATGACTTTGTTCGTGTCAGTAGTGGCTGCGTGGCGGTCCCCCCCCTCCATGACGCCTCGTGCGGACATGGGCAGTACGTACTCTCAGCATAGTGCTCCGGGTAGGCGATGGCGGCCAGCGACCCCTCGGGCTCATCCGACGGCACGGGCACGACATCATCCCAGTCCGGGTCCGTGGCGTACGGCCCCATCTTCTCGCCATACAGCGCCTCCTTCAGCTCCGCCATGGTGCGCCGGCGCTGCCTCTCCTCGTCAATCTCGTCGCGCGTGATCGGCGCGCGCGCCGTGCCGTCAGGTCCCCAGCAGGCCGCTCTCGGCCAACTCGCGCCTCTGGCGGAACCGGCGGTGCAGCGCCTCGAGGGCGGCGAGGCTCGCCTGCCTGCGTGCGCGCTCGGCGAACTGGTCGAGCGGGAGGTCGCCGATGTCGCGGCCGTGGCGGTCGGGGCCCCAGGCGTGCGTCTTTTGACCGGCGGCGGCGCGGAGGCGGCGCGGCGGCAGCGACTCGCGGGCGGCCTGCTTCCAGAACTCGCGGTCGGCCTTGGGCGGCAGGTGGGCCTGGCGCGCGGCGAGGCGTGGGAGGAAGGCGGCGTTGGCCCAGGTCTGTCGCTCGGCGGGGCTGAGGGCGTCGAGGCCGAGCTGCTCGCGGCGGTGCTCGGCGGGGTTGGTTGCGTAGAAGCGGTACCTGGTCTGCTCGTTGGCTGTGGTGGGCGGGGGTAGCGGTTCGTCTTTGGCTGGAGCGAGGGGGCAAGGGTCAGTAAAGGAGCCTGGAGAGTCGAGGAAAAGAAGCACGGTGGTGAAGAGTCGGTGAATCGAAATGTTTTGGCGATGAGGGGGATTATATGTGACGAGCCTGGCGGAGGGAGAAGGACGGTAGGCAAGATGCAGGAGGAGGAGGAGGAGGGGTCAGGCAGGCCAGGCTGCCCTGAACAATACGAGAACAATGGGCAATGAACATACTCTTCGTCTCGGCTTCCTTGGGTTTGGAGCCAACCTTTGCTTTCGGTGGCATGTCGTGTCGGAAGAGCGCGGGGGGGGGCGCCGATGGAGAGAGGGGTTGGCGACCTGGTGTTGGGAGCCAGAGCTGTAGCACCTTGGTGAGCTCAAACCGCCGAAGAGAATTGCTCGAACCACAGAAGCCAGCAGCCGGGCAAGCAGCCGATAGTGCGATAGTGGAGGGGCCTGCCAGGGCCTGCCAGGGGCCGCCAGCCTTGCCGGGGGGGCCGCCAGCCTTGTGGAGCGTATATGGAGGAGAGGCCTCGCCGTCAGCCCAGAAAAGGGGCTCCGAACAATGACTTGCGCCGAACAATCAATAGGCCCCAACGCCATGCCACTCCGGTTCAATAGGCGTATGCTTTCACACAGCTTCTAGCCTGATGATTAAATGGATCTAACTGGGAACCGCAAGGTACGTCGTCTAAGCCCTCGACACAGCCGCTGGTCGAACCCTGCAATACTCCTCCCTCCCATGATAGCAATATAACAATACATGCGAATGAATGCTTTCCTTGGCTTTGCCCTTGTTGGCCCAGTCCGCTCACCACCTGCCCCGTTTTCTTGACGCCACATGAAAGGAATACTGTACACGCCCCCCCGGCAGAGGCGAGTCCTTCCCAACCCTCATGATGCGCCCCTTTCGCTGCGTGTGTTTCGGTGAACGCCCTCCCCTGTTGACTGGCTTTTTTTTTTCTCTTTCTCCTCTTTCTCCTCTTTCTTTGTTGGCGTCGTCGTCGTCGTCGTCGCGCCTTGGCACCACCCCCCATTACAGGCTCTCGACGCGCCAGAACTTCCAGCCCTCCCTCTCCCCCACGCCGCCGTGCACGCCCACGAGCCGCTCGACGCCCACGTTGCCCTCGGCGTTGAGGAACTTCTCGAGGTCAATCTCCATGCCGCCCTCGTGGTCCTCGTCCATGCCGTTCTTGAGCACCGCCGGCCACAGCACGCCGACGCCGTCGCCGCCGAGCGTCGTCTCGAACTTGACGTAGCCTTCCTCGTCGAGCTGGCTGTGGAGCCTCTCGAGCTTGTCGGCCGGCGCCCCCGGCCGCAGCAGCGTGATCGAGCACCCGCCGCCGCCGGCGCCCGTGAGTTTTGTCCACCCAATGTCGGCGTGGTCGACGAGCTCCCTGATGCGCTCGAGCCGCGGGTGCGACACGCCGAGCGCGTTCAGCAGGCCGTGGTTGATCGTCATGAGCTCGCCCACCTTGCGCAGGCTCTCCTCCTCCTCGCTGTCAAAGTCTTCGTCGTCGATCAGGCTCGTCACAGACTGCGTCACCTTGTCTATGGCGTCGAGGATGCTGCCGACGAGCTTCGTGTGCGTGTCCTTCAGCTTGGCCACCTTGGCCACCTCGCGCGCCGTCGACTTGGACTGCTTCGTGTCGATGAGGAGCAGCGGCAGCTCGGGAAAGTCCCACAGCGGCCGCACGAGGGGCGGCTTCGTGTAGTCGGGACGCTGGTACACGACGGCCTTGCCCTGCGTCGACACGGTGTTGTCGACGCCGGACGGGTTGCCGTGGATGCACATTTCGTAGACAAAAGCCCAGCGGTTGATGCGTTCAATCTGCAACCGCGCCTCGTCCGGCGGTTGGTCGGGGTGGGGGCCCGACAGCGTGCGCAGCTGCAGCAGCAGCGCCGTCGCCACGCACACGGCGATGGAGGCGCTGCTGCCGAGGCCGGCGCCGATCGGGATGGTCGAGCGGAGCGTGTAGAGACAGCCGGGGAACGACTGGTGGCCGAGGGACAGGAAGAGGTAGAGGAAGCCCGAGGCGGCATTCTGGTGCACCTTGCGCAGCTCTTCGGGCTTGTCGGGCGAGATGCCGACGAGGTGTGGCTGCATGGCCTCGACGAGCTCGTGGTCGAGGTCGGTGACGAGGCTGTAGTAGAACTTTTTCTTCTCGGGGCTGTGAAAGAGGGGCCATGGCAGGTCGTCAATGTTCCATGTGTGTTCGAGATCAATGTCGGGGAAGCGGAGTGAGACGGTTCTCCGGGATTTGGAGAGCGAGGTGACGAGGAGGTAGGATCGCATCGAGATGGCGGCAGCGATGGCGGCCTGGGGGGGAGGCAAGGCAGGTTTTGTTAGCAAGCAGGTCGACAAGACGCTGGTTTCGAGAGAGAGACCAGAGACGCACCTTGCCGTGAACGACGGCGTTGCTCACCGCAGACGATGACCTTGCCCGGCGCAGAGACCATGAAAGGCGGGGGCCATGGGGCTCGAGCCTTGCGGTTCATCTTCTGTCGATTGCGACAAGGCGCCGTTGCCGTTGGTCATGCCGTTGCCGTTGCCGTTGACATAGGCCGCGCCGCCAGCGCCATTGAGGCCTTCGACGGTATTTCTCATGTCGGGGAATCGCACAGCCATGTACAGCGGTCGTGTTTGCAGGAGGTTCCACGGAAAGGAGTGTTGTCGAGGGTTCCGTTGGGGCGTATAGGACGGAGCGAAAGGCCGATGGGATGGGACGGTGGACAAGGAGGTGGATTTCCGAATTAGGGGGGTGGAGGCACGGTCACGGGGCTACCATGTACTAGGAGCGAACCAGAGGGCCAATTGAAACAGCGAGGGGGTGGATGAAAGCCGGCAGAAACCCCAGGAAACGAAGAAAAATGACTGACGTCCTTGTTGGGGGGAGGGGAAGACAGGACGTGGAATGCAGGCCCAAAAGGGGAGGGCATCAGGCAAGGTTCGGCCGGTTGGTGCGGAGAGTTGGAACAGCAGGAAAAGGAACATGAGAAAGGTTCACGCGTCCATGACGAGGCCGTCGCGCCGCAGTAGAAGGAGGCGTAGAGGATGCAGGGATGCAGTGGTGCAGTGGTGCAGTGGTGCAGTGGTGCAGTGGTGCAGTGCAGCAGCAGGTACAGCAGCAGGTACACGTCCAGCAGCGGCGGTGCAAACGCAGTGACAGGTCCGGCCAGCGCCGAACGATGGCGAGGTATGGGCACGGTACCTAGCTTACCTACCTAGGTAGGTAGGCTTGGTAGGTGAGGTGCAGGGTGGGTAATACAGACAATTTCATTAGACGAGGCCATTTCGTTCATCAAGAAGCCTTCTCCGTTTTTCCCTAGTTCTTGACTAGTCCCTTTGTCACATCCCAGACTAGGTAGGTACCTACCTAGATGGAAACTCCAGAATCTGGGCTAGACCATGCAAGTCCCTATCGACCCAGTCCACCGTGTAACATCCACCGAGATCAATGAGCCATGCGTTGTCGTCCATATGGATCAAGACATTGTTAGGCTTCACGTTCCCCCAGACACCAGACAAGGCGAGCTTCATGTAGTGCATGCAGCCAGCGAGTCGTGCTATGCAATGTGCTACCCACTGCTGTCTGAGCGAAGATGGACGGGACATCCTCGAACGACGAAGAGGACATGGTAAACGGCCCCTCAACATACTGCCTCGCAGCCGGCCGTGGGATATCTCTGGGGCCTCCCCTAGGAATGGAACGGACGGGCGCATTGCCTCTGGCCTCCTCCACAATACAGAGCGTGCGTAGGCTGATAACCCCCAGATCGGGTTCGCTAGTCCGTCTGGCTGGAAGACAGCAATGGGGAAAGTGTCCTGACAACCAAACAACCCTCCATCCCGTCTCCAGGTTCCAGGACAAGGATCTCAACCCAAAGCCTGACGAAGTGGTGGGCCGACGTCTCATCCGTCAGGACGTATCGGGACTAGCGCCCTATGTCTTACTACATCACTCGTCACCGTTGACGGCTGCCGTGGCCCCCAAATCTGGTGACACACAGAGAGAGCGCGACCTCGGAACATGGAGAGTCGTCATGACTTCCTCACCTTCATGCAGTCGGTAATCCTTGCAGCAAACCTTGCGTGCACAAATGAGGCACGATGGCGTGGTCAACCAGATGTCACCGAACGAATGCTTGATGCAACAACACTGACAGTCCCTATCTTGGGAGTCAGTTCGCCGGACAGGGATACACGGAGGCATGCCGCATGCGCCCATAAAGTACGGCCAAACATCTTGTTACTGCCACCGACTTCGAGGGCGTTGCGCAGGAAGGGTCGCTCTCTTAGGTACAGTACGTCAGAACGACATCATTGGATAGTGTGGGTGTTGAAATGACTGAGTGAGTCGTTCGATTGATCTGAGTGCTGGCGTTGTGTGCATGCTGAGTATTTTACCGGTGTTGCTTTGACTTTTCTCCACTAGGTAGACAAGGAGTGTACTTAATAAAGGGCGGTACCGGAAAGAGTCGGTGAGAGGTGTTGCGGACGACAATTTCCAGACAAATTACAGCACATGTTCATGAGTAGGTTTCGCCCAACATATTAATGTCTCGTAGCAGCGTAAAAAAGGTACCTGAGCTGCTGTGAGCTTCGGAAACCGAAGATGGGCCAAAGGGCCTCAATCGATGCCACCCAAGTCTTCAGCGTCTGCAATGTCACGCTAATCGGCGCCGGCAGACATTGCGTATTAGTCTACACCAGCACCGGCAGTGTCCAGCAAGTTGTAGGGCCAGTATCCTAGCGTGCAGCTTGCCCCTGGAGGCAGGGAGAAGAGATTCTAACTGAACCCAAGGTCAAAGAAGAGTTTGCAATCCTCCATAAGAACGAAAGGCGATGGCATCGAAACAGTACTTAAAATGGTTAGCATTATTTAGTCATATATTGGTACACAGAAAAGTACCAAGCAAAATTTGTGGTGGAAAACTGTCAGGACGCCCCTGCTGGCCACATAACCGGGGGCTGGTCAGGGGGTTAGGGGCTATGATAACGTGTCTATAAGGACTGTAGAGAGCCATATTTCTGATATATTTGACCGCATACGTACTATCTACTGTCTGCGGACTTGGTGCGGAAGATCTTTCCAATCTGTTTAAACCGCGCGCTGATGCCCTGGGTAATCACATCGCAATTTGTTTCAAGGACAGAAAGAATGACGAGAAAAACCATGAAGGTTCTTGCCCCGTTCATGTCAATGACGAGGAAACCTCGGAGTTCGATGAAACCAATACATTGCCAGACCTGACTCAACTCTCAGGCAAACTAAGAAGACTGAGCCGAAGACTCTATGGCAATCGGACAACCAGCTCAACGAGTACAAGCCCGACATGAAGTATTGACACAAGCCTGCAAGAACAATTTCGGAGCAAAATTCGCTTCTGACTAGGTTTCTATGTACAACCAAGGGGGTACTCTTCAGTTTTTGGATCTTTAAAATTCTAAGGGGAGGATGTCAAAGTAGCCGCGGTTCGGAAGACAAGATCCAATGAGCTCTTTACAAAGAAATTGAAAAATGTTGACGTTGAAGTTCGCTCGTAGACGTCTATGGTCATTATTACCATCCGGGCCGTCAGTTTCCTACTTCGCGTCTTACCCTTACTGCTACTTCCATTACTTTTCTTATGCATTAAGTCGCAAGTCTCAACTAGTCAAAACTCATTCAGATCAACATTTTCTTATCATTACCCAAACTGAGGGGTATAATACGTTTCCACCTCTGAAATACGGATGCCGCTATCGAACGTGTATATTAGGACAGCGGAGGGCCATAATTCCGACGCATTCCGACCCCCTGCCTAGGTTCTATTGCCTGCGGATCACGTGTGGCAGCCCCCTTCACTCTGCTCCAAATAAAGCATTGACAAGTGGCCACAGCATTCAGTTTAGTGTGCTTGTATCATGGAAAATATGGCTATTGTGGGATGTCGTAGCTACTTTACTTTGACACGGTCAAAGCCACTGTTGTTACTACGATCGCTGTGGCCGCTGTACCTATAGCAGTTTCACTGATCCTGCCAGTCGGGCGGCCTTGGTGGCACTTTCACACAGTCGTAACCTTCAAACCGTTCAATCAAACCAAAAGGATATGTATTGGGCAGCATTCATAGCGAATCAGGCCCCAGTCATGTGTCCAACCCGGGACAGTCATCAATGACTACCCACAGTTGTCGTAACCATCATTGTTGCCCCGTCTTGCATAAACTTCGCCTCGGAGGTTGGCGACATGTTGGGAGAGGGAGCTGGTTTCGGACAGCCCGTCACCTACTCACAATCAACCTATGACTGGGTGCCACTCACGCAGCGGTCCAAAGTTTGAGACATTCGTCAGGGATGCACGTAGCAGCAAAATTTGAGTCCTGCATGGACGAGGGGTTTTCCTGGAAAAATACGTAAGCTCCCCGAGGCTTAGGAGCAAGACCACGACTGGCTTGGTCAAGCGTTTTGCAGTCTACGACAAACAGAAGGAACGCATATGCGCCGTCATTTTCGCCGATTTACGAGCATTGCGAGAAGCTGCTCATCACCTGTCATGACGGGCACACTTCCACCGCAAGGGATCTCAGGCCTCTACTGGTTGTATCTTCTAACCAGGTGTTTCAACATCAGCGTATTTGGGTCTTGAGCCTTCAGCTCGCGTGATGGACCTAGGTCGGTTGTGAGATACCAGCGTCCCAACGACTACGGCCGGCCCATATTATTGTCTAGAGCAGTCTGGGAAACCAGGTAAGGTAACAATCATTTCCCGAGTAATCGCCCCCCCTTTCCCCTAGGCCAGACATATACAGTTCCTCCAGTGCGTGGGAAATTTTCGCGGCTCCGGGGTTCACCCTTCGCAAGTAAACAATACGGGCTGGCGAAAATGTACTGCCTTCGGATAGCCATGAGCTCTGTGTCATGCACGAAGGGAAGATAAGACACCCAATCTGAGCCACGATATCTCACAAAGAGCCCAATCGAGTTTTGTGAGAGTGATGCTACATAGGGGTATCGTCACCTTCAATCCAAGGACAATTCGCCTCCCACCTCATTGCGCAAGCGACGGTTGCCAGCACCACAGAGTTGATCGGGCCAAGGTCGCTCATACCACTCAAGTTGGGTCCCAGAAAAACACCATTAAATGTCAGGCAATATCGCGGCTAGGAAAACGACCTGACGGGATGTGTTGGGCAAATGACACACGCAACCGTTGACCAAAACAACTCCTGGCTACTCGGGTCAGGCTGAGCAACCGGGCTGTAGCGCGGACAGTAAATCGACCAATTTCTAAATGGCCAGGCCCCGAAACAACCCAGTATCAAACACGAGCAGGGCGTCGTGTTCTTGCCCAGGGAATTCGCCGAGGCGTTCGGATTCATGGTCAAAACAGAACTGTTGGGGCCAGGTATCTAAGCGAGGTCTCGTGCTCCGAAGGGAGGATCTTAGGTGTCTGGTGGCCAAAGTGACTGAAGTCAGCTTTCTAGCCCAATGCCAATTTGGATCCAAGGTCAATGTAGAACGGAATTCCAAGCTGGCACAGGTTTGATCCGATGGCGACTGGCCGCCAGGACCTTGACTGATACCGCCAAATCCCAGAGTAGCGATCCTCGTCACGAAGGCCAAACATGATATCGTAAACGAAA